ACAATGTCAAAGTTGTAACTGCAAAAAACGGCCGTAAGTCACTTTTTTTTCAGTGCATTTGAAACTTTGAATGGTCACTAAGTGAACTCCTCTAAATCTAGTGTCAGGGTTCCAGCAATTGCCCTAATTAAATCATGAGCCTCAAGCCAAGCTTCCAAAAGATTTATTAGGAGTAACATGTCAGCATTATTGCAGTTGAAGCCAACTCTAACACACATGATTTATGGTCACCTGTGACCCTGTTTCCCCCCTCCCGCCCTGGGTGTGTCATCAATCAGATTCTCCAACAAAGCACCTTCGTTGGCTGGGTGTCATCAATCACATTCTCCAATGAAAGGATTTTTTGAGGGCAGAAGATCCTGTAGCCTAGCTACAATCTTTGTAAGATAATGCTTGGAATGTACTTCTGATTTCTCCCCTCCCCCTCTGCTTATGGTAACTCGAAAACAGGCATAGGAATTCTTTCCGAGTTGACATCGAAGACTATCTGGCAGTCTCAGATATCATGGGACATCCCATGTTCAGTCTAATTTAATTAACAGCAGTCTAGGATCTGAATTAAAAGGAACAGTAGCAGGAAAAGCTGGTTGGTTCCCCGAGATTTTGGCCGTGGCTTAGTTAACTTTCTCAGCGATATTTGTTTGCTTTCTTAGAAGAGCCATTGCAAATTGGGAGGGAGGAAAAATAGAAATGCCAGCCTCGGAATTTGCTCAGCTCCTGCAGAATTAATGGATGGAACGAGTTTTCTCTTCAGCCACGCCGAAATGGGTTGCTGCTAAATATTTTCAACATTTCGTTTTTATTTTTGACTTCTAGGTTAGCAAATAGACCTAACATTTCCTCTGGGCTTTGCTTCCAGGCACCAACCAGACCTGATTCTGGTTTGTTTTGTTTTTTTTCGAGATCAGTCAAGGTCAGTCAGAGGGTATGGTGCAAAAATAGAGAGACGCTAGAACGGTGATGATAATGACAAGCTCTTTTCTATGGTGTTTCTACCTGCAGCTTTCCTGGGAAAAGAGTGTTGAAAAGCATGAATTTCTCCCAATTGCAGCTGCTTCTCCGCAGTTTCCAACTCCTGTTTGCTCAACCAGCTGATCCCCAAAATTCATCCCTGGGTGAATTGCACAAGCACTGCACACCCCGAGGCACCCAAGAAACCAAGAGCATTTGCGTGTTTTTCACACACACCCAATTCCCTGTGCAAACCAAACAGTATTTCCCGCCCCCCCCCCCCCCAGGAAAGCATGCAAGGGAGTCTGTTGGGCTTCGTTCTTTCACCGGTTAGGAGGTGGGGGTGGCCTTCCTTGGGAGGGAAACCAGCTCTTCTTCCTTTTCTCGAATGTTTGTTTGGTTGTTTCAGTTACTGGTCTCCAGATATGCAAATCCGCCTGGCTTCCGAGG